TAGAATTTTAAAAAATTGAAATCTGGCCTGCAAATGTAGTTGATTTTACAAGTTTTTTACAGGGTTAGAAATTGCAGGATCAAATTTATGGTGCATATGTTCTCCTGATAACCAAATGTTCTGAAAATAGTTCAGTTGTCTGAGAGTAGCCATATGAAATTCTGCATCCGATTCCGAGTTTGGATGCTAATGCTTGGTTTAACTCTTCAGCTGTTACTCCATACATAGTTAGCAAAACGGCGTTCTACTGGAAACTTTAATACTTGTCTTGAATGTTGGAAATGATGTGAATTAATATCAAAGTAACCCTGCAGATCACAACAGTCTTGCGCTGTGAGGGCTGTGTTGGAGGATGTGTCTGGTTGCAACACGCTAGTCAGCAAAGCCAACCTGCTGGAGGAGGTTCAACACTCTCATGGTGTAACACTGTGTGGAAGCTCAAACTACAGCAGATTTCTCACTGTTAAATTCTGTGCATGCATATATACCTGTGTGTGTATGGTTTTTAGTTAGCCATACTTTGGTCCTTTGGTAATTGGCTCATATCTTGGAGCTTTTACGCGTCATATCGCAGAAAGATGATTTTTAGACTTACAGACCAGTATTTGTTGGAAGGGACCCCAAATGTCACCTGCTCCCACCTCTGCTCAGAGCAGGGCCAGTCTATGTCCCCTTGCTCGGAGCATTGTTCAGGTGAATTTTCAAGGTCTATGAGACTGAAGTCACTGCACCCTCTCTGGGCAGCTTGTTGCAGAGTTTAATTGCTCTCATTGGGTATTTTTTACTTCTGTCATGCTGGAATTTCCTTGGCTGCAACTTGGGGCTGTTTCCTCCTGCCTGTTGGCTGCGCACGTGTGAGAAGGGTCTGATTCTGTCCTTGCTGAAACTGCCCATGCATGTGAGCAGGTTTGCGTGTGTGATATGCGAATGTGCTCTTATCCTCACTAACCTTTCCTCCTTTTAGTTTTCTTCTTGTTTGGCTAGCTCAGCTGTCACTTTGCTGAGGTCTGATGACAGAAATGTGTAGGAAGTTTGAGACAAAACATTTTGTCACGTGCTTTGTCTTTGACCTATTTTTGAAAAAGTTTTGAGAAGCACTGGAAATACAGGTGAAATTGCCAATTCTCTCCTCAGAAGAACAGTGGTACTGTAGTACAGCTGCAGAGGACATCAAACATGTTGAATATTCTTTAACTTATTTTCCTTTTTTTGAACTTCAAATTAATGAGCTAGAGAAATCTTCTTAGATCTTTACTGGGATCAGAAAGATTCTTATTGTGAACTGCCAGAACGTGTGTCTAAGAAATGCAATAATACATGATACGTAGAAACATTTCAAACGTTTGAAATGGGCCAGTTTTGTGCTGCTACAAGAGCAGCCATCCGGAAACTTGGAGTTCTTGAATCCATATTGAAGTTACTTCACATCAGCAAAATATTTCCCGTGGGACTCTTTGAGGAGGTGAAGGAGGGAGAGAAGGAAAGGCTGAATTCCAAGTACAGATTCAAGTGTTGCTTTTCATATTGACAGTTTGGAGAGGTTTTACTTTATTTCTTGTCTCTGTTCTTATATATGGCCTTTATTTTTCCCTAGGAGTCTTCAGTTTTCTGGAATACTGATTGTAAAACTCCTATTTTAAAGTAACTGTTAGAAAACCTTCCACAGTACTCTGGCATTAATTATTCCTAGAATTTCAATGAAACGGGAAGACAGTTTAATGAACTTGAATTTTGCATTAGTGATACTCTGCTTTATGCTTATCTATTATCTGTCCATCTGGCAGCTCACACGCTTGTTGGCAGAAGTGCTTTTATTTCCTTCCCTGAAAAATTCTGGCATTGAATGTATAAACAAGCAGTACTTCTTTCTTCATTTATAATTCAGCATGAAATTCTGAACATTATTAGTTAATTAATATTAAATATGGTGAATTCTTGCTAGTGCGAGTATAACGCTCTGAATTGAAGCATATGGAGTGCTACCACCTCCTCACAGTGAGAAGTCGGCAGATTGAGATCCATCTGTCAGCTGACACAGGCACCAGTGCATGTCTCTGAGTTTACGGTGAGGCAATGCAGACTGCCAAGAGAAACTGTGAGTGGGGCTGAGAGCACTACAATCATGACATATTTTGGGGGAGGGCAAGTGGAAGAATTGCTTTCCCCTTCATAATTCAATAGATGCTTAAAAAATTTACAGAATCTTTATTTGAAAATGTGTGCTGGCTTTTGGTTGCAAAATAAATTTATTAATAGCAAACACGCTCTGGACCCTGAGCTTACTAGTGTGGTTATCTACAGCCTGTTGGTTTTTTGCTCAGTTTACTTACTGGGAAGGACCCAGCTGTATACAGCCATGCAGAAAACATGCTGCCTTGCTGGGGGAGAAGTTAAATTGCTCTCACCTTGAACCACTCTGATGTGATAGTATATTGTGCTGGGTAGGCAGCGTAACCCAGATACCACATCAGGGGTATGCAGGAAAATACCTGGCAATATCTGCGTATGTCAGAAATACCTGATGTTCACAGACATAGAGCTGCAAGAAACCAGGCTGAGAAAACAACCCTGTTTCATATGGATCTACTGGGCTTTCAAGTGTACAGGTACATATTCATCAGGTAGCAACTCCTAAAGCATTTAAACAGATTGTCTCATTTTGTTTTGGGGGGGGTAGAGGTTTGTGGTGTGATCAGCTATTTAATACATTCCTGAAAGACATCCATAGAGGCTTTCAAAGTTAACTCTCCTGTTTAATGTTAACTCAAATGAAATATTTTCAGAATTGGCCAGAGAAACACGGACCTTCTGAAGTCTTTTCTCAGTATGGATAAAATTTGAAATGGTGTTAGTTGAATTGGTTTTGAATATTCTCTTCCAGAATGGTTTTTTGTATGAATACTTTAGAGAAAGAAATGAATCCACTGGCTTACACAACTTCTTCATAGTAATAATAGACAAAAGCCTAAGCTTGGAATTCCCCCCCGGAGTACGTAAATCTTATCAGTTTAATTTTGGTTTTGTCTGCAGAAAAGCATCTTGCATAAAGTCCACAGTAAGTTGAAACTTCTGTTTGTTGCATTTATTTTGTGATGCTTTGTGGCTTCCTGTTGTTGTGCAAAAATGACACTTAAGTAATCCATAGTGTGGCTGGAGAGGACTTGTCATAAACAGCAAACTGGTTAACTTAGCTGGGTGTTGCTCATTTTGAACAGAAGTTTTATATTTATGGCATGCTGTTCACAGATAAAACTGCTGGCAAATGTTGCTATTACAACTTTATCTTTGGTGTAAATGTACGGTCTTTTCCTGTTGTCACTTTTTAATTTCTAATGGTTGTATTATATGGGGGTGAAACACAGTTTCTCTCTCTGCTGTCAGAAGCAGTAACAGGACAGACAGTAAAATGGCAAGTTGTTAGCCTGGTGCTCCCTGCAAATGCTGCCCCTCCACCTTGGAGGTGAATTTTTTCTTTTTTTTTTTTTAAGGCATTTGGGTAATTATATTAATGCCGTATTGTATGAGGACGGTTGGCTTTGGGGAAAATTGCCTTACTTGTGAAAAAGTTGATTGGTTCATAAACCAAAATGTTTTCTAAAGGCTTGTAAGCTAGGTAAGCGTAACTTATATACAGCATCCTATTTGAAACTTAAATTCATTGCTAATACCTGGAAAACCAGGTTAAAATACCTATCGATATTTTGCCTGACCTATACATGCTATGGCTTGGGCCTTTTAAGACAGAATCTTTGCAAGTTGAAGTGGAGGGGGGGAATCGGGGCTTAAAATTTCTGTAGGTTTTTTTTTTTTTAAGAGGTAATTTCTGAAATAAGAGCCTAAATAATTATTTTTCAAGACCTACACTGAAGGAACTGGTGAGTGACACTGAACCTTGGACAGAAGAAGGACGTAAAACCCATATATAAAAACCATCCTTAGTGGAAAGGTTTTCCATTACCCTGTTATCTTTGGTCTGTCTGGAATATATAAAGAATTAGTATTTTTCAGCTGTAACAGAAAATAAATCTGTGTTACGGAATTAGGCCAGATCCAGCAGAAGTGAGGCAGCCCCGGCTCCCTGCCCCAGGGCCGACCTGTGGCAGGGCTGAGCATGTGTTCCCAGAAGGTAAAAAGGTTTTCTTGCCCAGAAAGAGTTAGAAATGGAATTTCCTAAGAAGATAGGATAAGCTGCAGATCAGACTATTCAAGTGTATGGACCAGCCACTGTTTATATATGAGCGAGTGTTTTTACCCCCTTATCCCTCTATTTTCCCACTCTTGTTCTTCCATGAGTCATCTAGATCCTTCCCTTTCCCCGCCTTTGGTTCCTCCCCTAAACAACCTATAGTAAGTCTTGCGCAATCCCAAAATTCTCTTCCTCTGCATCCCATACCTGTCCCGTACGTACCCTGACGCACTGACCACCTCCCTCCCAAAGATGCTCGAGCTGGCTCCCCAGGACGGGTGTCACCCCTGGCTGGTGGGGCTGAGGCTCTCCTGGAACAGCCGTCCCTTCCTCCGAGTCCATAATTTGTATTTCCCCATCTGCCTTTGGGCTTCTGCTCCTCTGGGCTTGTGGGGATGGACCTGGGATGGGCTGATGGCTCCTGGGATGGACCTGGGGCTAGCTGGGCAGGGTGTGATTCAGGCTCCCCCTCCTTTGTGGGTGTGCAGAGGAGCTTTCTATCAGATACGCAAACAATTTGTATTGTAAACTGTGTCAAGATTGAAATAGTCAAATTTGTCTGTTTTTTGCCTTTGTATGGTTGGTGTTAATTTTAAAAATGGGTTTTTAAAAATTTTTAATGTTAATAAGTATCAACCTTTTTGTGAAGGGATTATCTGACTAAAAAAATCTGTCCTGCTTGCAATTCAGTTTGCCCACAAAAGTCTAATTCGTCATCCATAAAATAAATATACTTTGTCAGAGAATATATTTGTCCTGTTGCTAATTCACTTGATTTATTTCTGGTATTATAGATTGCCCCTATATTGCGAGAATGCTTTCCAATTTGACTTTTGGTCTCCAGTGAGCAAAAGAAATGGCTTTTTCTAATACCTGCTTTACTATCGGAAATTAAATTTTCTGGATGGGTGGTCATAAAAGCTAAGGCCAATGAAATAGTGGTCGGTAATAGATTATTTTTTTCATGTGAGGTATATTGGCAGTCAGACGATGGATCTGTAGAAACTTGCAGGTGACGGAAGGGAGCCAGTTTCTTTAAAAATGTATCCTCAGAGATTGATAAAGTGAAATGCAGTTGTGTAAGATCTGATTTATCAAAGAATGTAACGTTTCTGCAAGATGATTTTCTTTCACTTTTCTATATTTTTGTGGGTTTGGGAGTTGCTGGTTGTCTTCAATTATTTTTTTTTTCCTCTTAGTAAAACGCTTCAGAGAACCAAAGCATGAAAGACGTCCCTGGAGGATATGGTATGTTTCTGCATGTTTTATTCTTACATTTTTTTGTTTCTTGCATGTTTTAGAAATTGAATGAATGATTGTTTGCTAAAAAAAAAAAAATGATGACAAGAAATTGGTGACTGACAGTGAGGAACAAAACCAGTTACAGCCTACATGAGTCAAAGAGAAAGTTACCTTCTGTGTTATCTTTCCCTGCTAGTTCTTTCTTACTAAACACTTCCAGGAATCTTTACAAAGATGTGCGTTTAGACATAAAACTGAAAGTTGTGCTTCCTCCTGAAGATGGAAACTTACAGTTGCCCTAAGATGCATCTGAACATCTGTAAGCTTACGAGAAGCTCTCAGCTGGGCTTAAACAAAATTCCATGTTCTGTAGCTATCCTACTGTGTATAAGATAGAAAACAGTATGGTAAAAGATATAAATACATAAGCCATAAAAGAATACAAGGTATAAAAAGTATATTTGTTTTTATTACTTTTAAAAAGTTGTTGGATTGTAGCAATGCCAACATAACCTGTACTAGTTTTGAGACTGCTGTAAATGTCAAGCTGTCATTCCAGTTGTTGAAGATGTCAGTGGTTTAAATTCATCTCATACAATGCTGCTTTTCATAACTAATCCTGACCTTTATTTTCTTGAAAAAATAAATACAAAATCTTGGTGTACTGCAGTCTACCTCAGCCTGAAATTCTGAGTAGTGTGGTGATAGCCTTTAATTTTTAAGCAAAGAATCTTGTTCTGGGACTTGAGTTTTGTTATTTATAGTATGCTGTACTGATTAGATAAGTAACTCACTGGCTTCCTGCCTCATCTCCAACACTCTGCTTTCTATGTCGTGCAATGAATGCAAGAGGATAAAGTTTAAGACATATTTGTCAGGGAGGGGAGATGAATTCAGGCATAAAGTGGTGTTTGGATCTGTTGGGGTGTTTGGATCTTTTTAGACATGGAAACAACAGGCAAAATGGGTGTTGGTCTGTATAAAAAACACACTATTGCCTACAGAATACTTTTGGCATGATTCCTGTATTTAACACTTAATAAAACATCCATTGGAAGTTTTGGTTTTGTGCAAAGGATGATAAAAGAATGGTAAGGGCTGGAACCAGTACTGAATCAGTACCCAAGTGTGGTTTTTTTTTTTCTATTTTCCCTGTAAGTAGCAAACTATTTTCTTTCTAACTCTGTCATCTGCTTTGGAGATAATGCTTTCAAGTTTGTAATTCTTTTGCAGTGTGGTCTAAGCTGTTGTACTTTAGATATAAGTCAGTGAGACCACTTCATGCTTTCAGGTGAAAAATATGTTGGCTTTTTAGCAAAATATTATAGATAAAGGAATCATTAGCCAGCTATTAAATTGTTCACCAACAAGCCCATGATGAGGATTTTATTTTTGTCTGTGCCATAAACTTGCTAAAAATACATAAACATAAAAGGACTGAAATATCTAGCGAGGCTGGGATACTCATTGTTTACCCATAAACTTCTAAAAATACATAAACATAAAAGGACTGAAATATCTAGCGAGGCTGGGATACTCATTGTTTACGAGGTTATTAAAGACTTAGCTAGGTTTAGTGAGGATTAGCGCTTGGATAATGCATATGATACCAAGAGGGGATGTCCCTAGACTTTAAATTTACAGTGGTAAGGTTTCAAGTTAGCATGATTTGATTTATTGTTAGCAATATTCAAGAAAAAAGGGGGCAGAATTTAAAATGGAACATTGTTAAATAAGCTAAATACAATGACAATTTATCATTCCGGTGTTCTCATTTGAAGAAAAAATGAATAATTGAGATGGAATTTTAATTAAAATAAATTTGCAATGTCCGACTGTGTTGTAAACAGTTTTGTGTGTCTTAAAAACTGTTTTTACTCTATACAGGTTTTTAGATACTTCCAAGCAAGCCATAGGAATGTTGTTCATCCACTTTGCAAATGTCTATTTATCAGACCTTACAGAAGAAGACCCTTGTTCACTGTGAGTGTTTAATTTCAGAATAATTGGTCTTTATGGAAGTTCTGCAGTTGAGTTTGATGGTGTACGTGGACGATAATGCAAGATATAGCCGAGAAACCAATTTTCATAGTAAAAATCAATCACTCTCAAAAACCTGTGGTTTAAGCTTAGTTAATCAAGGATCGGAGTTCTGCTCTTCTAGTTCATGGCTGGCAGGACCTGGGAGAGCTTTTTCTGGGCTGTATATAGATATTTTAGACCAAAGGTAACCTCTTACTACTACTGCCTCTCCAGTTAATGAATGAGGACTTGGGATGCACATTGTAATATGGGGCTGTTTACTGAAGGAGGTGCTAGGGACCAAAGGAAATGAACATAAAGTTGTGTGCACTGACCTCCAGCTGCACTGTTCACGGCAGCAAGGCTTTAATATAAAGTCAGGTTGCTTTCAGGGATATTTAGCAAAAATCATTCATGCTTGTATTTTCTTCGAAAACCTATATTAGCTACTGCAGTATTACTTTCATTTTGTTAAAAGCAGGAAATCTTGCTTGGTACCCAGGCAGTTAGTACAAAAATTAATTTTGCAATGTCACGCTTGGAGCAGCGTGACTAAGTAGATAAGCATTTCACTGTAGTATATTAAACCTGAAGATTTTATGACTAAGACCCCGTCAGGCTCTTTACAGGAGCTCCTGAAGCAAATGGTAATTGTTTGGGTTTGTTCTTGATAGAGCTCATGCTCAAAGAAGCTTACACATTCCTGGTAATAGAAGCTGTGAAATTACTTTTAAAAGCTTAGTAATTTGCCCTTTAAAACCAATCCAGTTCCGTCAATGGCATCTGCTCACTGTTGTCCTTTGGTAAACAAAGGAGCTACACAGCTCAAGGAATATGCTTGTGTTGCTTCACAAGCCTGTTTTATTTCCCGTATTCCTCCTCAGTTTCTTTTGTGTTCCTACATGCTATAAATGTGCAAGTAAAACACTGCTTTTCTCTTCCCACCAGAAATCATTTTGGTAGGGAAAATGCATTTATTTTAACACACTGACTGTGAAGTTTGTTATAATTATGACAGTTTCAATAATACCAGGCATCATTGTAGGATTTTCCTTGCTTACTGATTTAAGAATTTCCTGATCTAAAAACTGACAGGTGCAAATTGCTTTCATTCCATTTTTATATATTAAAGTGTATCTTCAAGTAAGCTAACCAAAGCATGTCTAAAGTTGTCAGTGTTTAAAGCTAAAGCTCAATAGTTTATTATAATATTTTAAAAATAACTGTGCTGTGTACTGAGTTTGCAAAATAAAAGGTTTGCTAATGTGTGCGTTCTTGTCTACATGTTTTCGTATAGTCTACATAACTTTATTTTCAAACACCACTTTTCATGTAAGTGTAACGTGACACAAAACAAGTAAGAGGGTGAGGCAGAGAACTGTTACTCACTGTTCCCAGGATAACAAAAATTACGATGTGGAGCTGTATAATTTCTCAGGCAAGGGTGCAGGTCCTCCTTGTAGGAGTAATACTACATGTAGCATGTAGCATTAACCAAAGCCACTTGTCCTTTCTTGGGAAAAATATATCTTAAGTATGCAAGTGGGTTAAAATTAGTGAGTAAAAGCAACGTTTCTGTCTGTGACCTTAATAAGAATTTTACTCAGCAAATTCAAACATGGGTAGTTTTCTGTTCTTTCCTGTTTTGTAGTTTGTGGGTTATTTTCAGAACAAAACCAGAAAATGTAGTTTTAGAAAACATTGTGGTTCAAAGCTTGGAAGGAACTACAATTGGAAGTTGCCATTTGTTAGTTTGGGAATGTAGTGCTGTAATTCAGGCAGGTGTGTGATAATATCAAAGCTGATAAAACATCTGTTAAAACACCTTGACAGATGGGTTGTTGTTTGAAGAATTTTAAGTAGAAAAAGCAAACAGCACTCTTCTGTAGTGCAGGGTACTCAGCTGGCTGTATGCGGTACACGGGGAAGTTTGTACGAACCCCAGCCTTTTACTCGCTGAACTCTCAGCCAAATGCATTTACCTGGTAGTGGCAGCAACTTGTTTTGTTGTTTGTGCTGGTGCACCGGTTACGTGTGAGCAGGATTAATGCAGTGCATCACAGAATGAGCATGTTGCCTACATGTAGTGAGCCTGATGTGCCTGGGAATATCAGGCATACTTGGCCTGTGCTGTGAGCTGTAATTTGATGTGAAATAGGTGCTGGCACATCTCCCTGCTCCTGATGGCTGCCTTCCTGTTGTAGACTTACAGCAGCCCCTTGTGGCCTTAAAATGACTTGTGTAGACTTGCAATTGCTGAGTTTCCTCTGCCAAACACTAAACCTTGATTTTAATGTTTGTCTAATACGAAGTTCATTAAAACACTGATTTGACACACAACTATTCGAAAATAAGTATTCTTTAGAAAGTTTATGGGTAAGTCTTGGCTGAAGCAAGGCGTGTCCGCTTTTTATTTTTGAGCTGCTCCTGAATGGGATTTTGAGGGTCAGAACAGCTCCTCCTTTACTGTTTTGAATGCACATATTCTGTCTTTGCTTTCCACTTTCTGATACTGTTTTGTCCACTGATTTGCCTCTGCAGCCATCAGAAGCCCGCAGGTCCCTGATTTACTATTTTTATCCCTGCAGATAAGTTCCTATAGACTAGATCTAGAGTTTACCTTAAGTATTTGGAATTACCAAATAAGAATCTCAGTAACAGGGATTTACTATGTGTCTTACAGCTGACTCTTTCTCAGCTGCTGGTTTGTTCAGCTAAAATCGGTGATTGTATATAAACCAAACTGACTTACAAAATACTCTGAATTTCAGCTCTACCGTTTAATGAACCTAAGAATTAATTTGAAACCCATAGTAATCTCTAGTTTCTTGAAGCATAGGTAAGATCCCAGAAGCTTTTCTTGAAACAATAAAATTATTAGTGCAGCAGTTGGTGTGTCCATTGAGGGGTGGTTTGGTTTGGTGTGGTTTTTTTTTCTGGGAAGGCTTGTTCCTGATTACTTCAAATGTTTATTGGACAAGAACTGAAGTGCAAGAAAGTAAATAACTTTTCTTCCTAACACTAAGTTGAAATTTGACCTAGATAGTGACTGTACTCTCTAGGCGTGGTATTCCACTGCTCATTTCTCCTTGTTGAGGCTAGGAGGGGGCTCCCTTGAGCAAGAAAAACTGTCTAGTTGTGGTGTCTTTCCCCCTCGGAAAGAAAGTGTTTTGGGTTGGGTTTTTTACTTTCAAATTCCTTGAGGTCTCTTTAAGATAACTTCTCTTTTTATTCCTTTTCCTTGTATTCCTTTGGCTTTATTCACATACAGGTTTTCCATGCAGAATGAATTGAGCAATGGTAAAAAGAAAATCTGGTTTTAATTTAAAGGAGTAAAATGAATATTGGAGTTTATATAGAGTATGCACATACACACACCAGAACTCACAAAAATAGAAGTCGGAGCTTAACTTTAAGGGCAGAAACAAAATATTGAGGTTTCTAAAACTATTTAAGTTTTAGGCTAACTGTGTAATTACAGATGTGGGTAAATGATTATTCTCAATACTCTGGCTTCTCAACATATATACAGATCTTTTATCAATCGTGGTGTTAAAATACACTGAACTTGTAGAAAATGGACCCTTGCTCCTTGTTTTTTTTTTTTTACATTTTTCCTTTCAGGTACCTTATCAACTTCTTGTTAGATGCCACATTAGGAATGCTGTTAATCTACATTGGTATACGTGCAGTCAGCAGCATTGTGGAATGGCAGCAGTGGGAGTCCCTTCGCTTTGGTGAATATGGTAAATGTTTCTGTTCTTGCACTGAAATGATTTTCAGGATAGAATCTCAGAATATTTCAGCTAGTGGTTAACTCCATCTTAAAATCATTATACAAGATTATAGTGGTCATTTTAATATTTCACTTGTGACGAGGGTTCTTTTAAGTTCTGTATCTCAGCATGCCCCTTCTGTGTTAGAAAGCTCAACAAGTCTCTAAGCATTTAGTGAGTTTGGAACAACTGCTTGAATTTTTTTTTTTAGGAGTGATTGAACAAATTATGATATTGGCTAACCTCCTGGAAAAAATAACAGCATGATAAATTTCCTCTGAAACACTTACAAATAAATGATAGCTGGAAGGTCATTTCCTATTAAAGCTTTCACTGAACCACATGCCGTTGTCTGAAGATACGAGCTAAGAGTTCTGCCAGCCCTCTTTAAAGTAAACAGCCACATACCTTCAGTGAAGAGAATGGCAAGATGGCCTGTGCTTGTCCTCAAGTAATGATCACTGGAACTCCTGCACGTAGGGCTTGTATCATTGATGAAAAATGCATGTGTCTTTCGTACAGGCTAAGGGATAGACTAGTGAAATCACTTTCACGTGAAGTTGTGGGTTTTATATCTTCCCTTATGTTAGCCACAGAAGTCCACTGATCTGCAGAAATTGTGGATTTGCAGACGCAGTTGAGTATCATACATACTCGACATCGACATTTAATTCTGTTCAACCTGTTATTTTTCAGATTGCTTAGTCTGGCTGGTTGGGAATGGAAGTTCTCTATAGATGCTAAAAATTACATTTGAAGCTCCTTGAGGTAGGAATGGGGGAGAGGTTGCCTCACAAGAGAGCTATGGCTCTTCATCAGAGAGAAAAACAAACAAAAACCCCTATGGTTTGGGGGAAAAAAAAGTTAAAATAATGTTTGCCTGACAAAAGTCAAAGCTTTCATAGCGGTTTCATAACTATCATTGGTAGGTTTTTTGGTTTCGTAGGTTTCTTTGTTTTTAATGATCCTAAGTGGCTGACAGAATTAAGAATAAATAAGGGCCTTGCCAAGTTGAAGTACTTTAAAAGCTTGGGAAGTTTACAATTAAATCAAATAGCATTAATTGCTATTTGCTTTAATGTCAGATGTTTAAAATAGAGATGATGACAAGCATCTATCTTAAGAGAAATAACTGCCTATACCATTAGGGCATTTTGTGTTAGATTTATGTACATTTAATGTGTATCTTTTAGGGTACGGTTTATGACCATTTAAGCTGTTTAAATCAGCACTGCCACAAGCCTGTTTATCTGCTTTTTTCACCTCATGCCATGGTCCAATATTTCCACTCTTTTCCTTGGACTGGTGTACATCTGACTCTTCAGGGAACTGATTCAGAGAGCTAAACCATCAGAAAATTCACTATATGTGGAAAAGTAAATAGTTCCTCCAGATCAGTCCCCATACTTGGGTCTCTAAGGGATTAGGTAAGCACCAATGCACAGGGAAGGGAAAAGGGCAAGGAAAGAGCCGAGACATTGCTGAGCAACAGCTTCTGACTGAGCTTTGAGACCTATTGCCCAAAGTCCCTTTTTCTGATTGTTGATTTGGATTGAAGCCATTTAAAGATGTTTGGACAGCTTTCAGCCCATGTAAAATTGGCTTTCCACTCAGAGAAAGAAGCTTGGTGTATCTATTACAATTATAGGTAGGTACTTGTAATCATGTCAAATACTAGATTTTATTTCTTCCTAATAGCATTCTGCTTTTTCTTGTGTAATTTGTTCTCCCATTTTAATGTCCTTTTAACAATAGGCGGTCTGTGTGGATGGGGAGATATGGGAATATAGTCACTCTCCTGAAATTTGTGTCTATCTCTTATTGACTTCCAAAATGAACCTGTTTCTATGATTAGTTAGTTATGAGGCATCTGTGACTGCAGTAACTCAGCTCTTAAAATCAACAAATGAACTTGTGTTCTGCTGCGGAGGTGGTCTGTGACTGATCCATTGTTGTCATTTTGAGTTAGATCTGAAATGCCTAAACTTGTTTGAGTATTTCTTCTGTGTGTGTGTAAGCGATGTATGAAATTATGTAAGTCCTCTTTACTTAGTTGTTCTTTCCAATATCAGATCATTTTATTAGTGACTAACTTTCTTTTCTGTATCTTCATAAATGTGCTGTCCTGACCTTAGCGTGTTTGTTTTTAATCAAGCTATCGTAAGGACTATTAAAAAGCATATTGTAAATCTGTGTTTCCATTAATCATGTGGGAGAGGCTTCTGCTATAAAGAGATCTAGATAGCAGATGGAAAGTTATTAGTAATGGCTGTGCAGTAAGGTTAGACCCTATGTAACAAATCTGTCTAAAAAGGACAAGTTGCACTGGATTGTTTGCTGCCCTCTTCTGTTAAGTACTACTCTTGTTTCTGAAGTGAAAACCCTCGTATCACCATTTTATTTAAAATTTTTCGCTTTGGCCCCAAGAAAAGTCTTGTCTTATTTTTCATAAGATTCTTTAAAATAATTAAAGTAGGGTAGAAGAGGGGACTAAAATGCAGTCCTGTGGGGTCGCAAGTGTGTTTAGACTTGTGGCATTTTATCTGAAGTAGTAAAGTCAAGTCCTCAGCTTGGAGATCAGTGTGACTTCAGTTTGTTTGCAAGTGTGGGAAAACAAACAAGAGCCCCCCCTCCCCAACCAAGTCTCTTTGTTTGATTGAGTGATGTTGTTTGTGTTTCTAGAGCCTAAATAACCATTTGTCTCAAGTTAATTCTCACTGTGAGCTCATTTCCCTTCTTAGCTCTATTACTTGATCCCTGGTGATTCATTACTTGAAGCTGTCACAAAAAATAGCAGTCTCCTGCTGGTTTGCTGGTTTTAAAAGCCTGTTCTTTGTATGGAGGATAGTTTTTAAGCATAAATGCCTCAAGGACAGAATGGATACCAAAATATCAGCATTCATAAATGGTTGCTGTTGATACAGCAAAACAGCACTGCACGCTGATTTACGAACAAAGTAGCATGACGCTCCCTCAAGGGCTTTTTTTATGTCAGAATTTTTAAGTTTATTAGATTTGTCTTCATATTTCCAGTTTTGTATTTTCAGATTCATTACCTCAGCAGCTGGGTTTTAATAGAAGTGCAGAATCAGTTAATATATTTGAGTATGTAAAGAGGAGAAAAGCAGTCATGATCTGTACTGAAAAGAATGTTCCCTGCGTTCTCCTTTCCTTCTTGTCTTAGGCTACTTTAGCTGCTGCGAGTAGAAAACAGGTGTCTAAATCCCTCTTGGTGACAATGAACTCTGGCAACTGACTCGTGCTGTGGTCTCTTTGCTTGTCTTTGCTTCTCAGATGGCAAAGCTTAGAAACTGTATTTGATGCATCTTTTCCCTCGAGCTCTTTGCAACTTGCAGAGCAACTTACTTATAGCCATATAGGGTAGATAGCACTTACTTTAAAACTTTTTTAAATTTATTTTGAAGTAGTTCTGTGAGTTGGCATTTTCTTAAGAAAATTTCTCAGGATTTGAAGAACAGAGAGAAGTTATGGGATAGAGGAATCACAGGTATTTTGTCTATAAACGTGACTCTACAACGTGGGTGATGAAAGTAGCATACACTAGTATAGACCAGTTTTTCATTGCCCAGCATTTTCAAAAAATGCTGTTACAGTTGTTACTGCTGAGGATTCAAAATTTTTCAGTTTCAGTCTTAATGCGCTTTTCTTGCAGTAACAAGATTTCTACTGATTTGTTAGTTTATTCTAAACATGTAATTTATACATGACAGGTATAAAATCAGAATTCAAGAGAGGCTGTCAGAGACTTCAGAAATGAAATTAGAGCTTTATGGCTTCAACGTTAACTTTAAAGTTCTAATTTGAGTTTGTGTACTGAATCTTTGAATGTACAAATGTCCCAAATAATCTTGGGAACACCTCCTGGATGTGGTGACGTTAACTTCTACTTTTTCCCTTGAATTGCATAGTTTATAAAATCATAGAAAAAATTTGGTTCGAAAGGCTCTCCAGAGGTGATATAATCCAACCTCTTGCTCAAAGCAGGGTTTGAGCTAAAGCTTTGTTGTTCAGGGCGTGGTCCAGGCCAGTTTTTAATTTACTCATGGTTTGAGATTTAAGAACCCCGCTGAACAACCTACTCTAGTGCTTAACCACTCTCATGGTGACAGCTTTTTTCCTTTATGTCAGAATTGTATGTCCACGCATCCAGTCTATATCTCCCCAACTTGTCTACAAGGATACTCCCGGGAGACTGTCAAGAGACTTGGTAAATTCAAAGTAGACAGCATCCCTGTTATCCCCACTTGTAATTAGAGCTGAGACATAATTTTGTAGATGCGTTAGGGCACACAAAAATCCTCAGATAGAATTTAGTATACACAACTTCTAATTTCAGTCATGTACCAAAAAAAAAAACCACCCCAAAAAACCAGTGTGCCCCCCCCCAAAAAACGTCATGGAACAAAATGTTCATCGGTGATAGTGCACAGCACTCTTAATACAGAGTTTCACAATTTTTGGACATACAAAATCTCACGTGACAGAGTTGGAATACATGCAAAATTGCTATAGCTGTCTTTGCTTTTAGGAATTAAATACAGATTGGAAAAGAGCTTAGAATAAACCGGTAAAGTTTCAATGGTAAGTCTGTAGCTAAAGCTAGATTTTTTTTTTCATATTTGCTACTTAATGAAAACTAGAAAATGCTAATAAAAATGTGGAGTATAGAAATTAATTGCTAAAATTTAATTCAGGCCTTGTATCTTCAGAAGAATCACGGGTGTTCAACTTTGAAATACTGGTGTTTCCCCTTTCAAATTTTCTAACTTATTTTTTACAACAGAAGCCATAAACTGTAGTATATAAGTGTAAAACTTGAGCATTTTAACCATTTTCGTCTTGGACTATTGAGTGTTGATACTAGCTCTTACTGTAAAACTTGTTTAGGAAGTTTTCTTTGTTTTGGACTCCAGTCTAATTTATCAATTTCTCTTCATAGCATTTAAACAGCAAACAGTAAGTCTCAAGGCTATTACCAAGTATTAATACTGAAAACCTTTCAGAAATGTTCCAGAAAAGGAAGTAGCAACTATCCATTATGCATTACAAATACATAAAGGCATCTGAATTTCCACTGCCCATTATTCATCCCCAGGCTAAAAGTTTTAAGCTGCCTTTGAAGATGTTGCAGAAGACTATCGTGAAGACTAAAGAGCTAACACTCCCCTCCAAAGCTTCCTTTTGGGTTTCCAGTGAAGTGGTGCTTTAAGGTCACCTGCAAAGCTTGTTAGGCATACCAGTCCTCTTTTTCCCTCTTCTCTTTTTTTTTTCTTTTTTTCTCTCCTTGCTTTCATAGAGTATTAATAGTCTACTTCAGTTTTCATGTTCAAATATTTGTGGTCTTCATTCTGTTATGGCAGATAATGTAACGCACTCAGGTTTTCACTCTGCCACAATGGGGTGCAGCAGAATTTCAAACCCTTTCAGATGGCAACTAAAATGTGATCTTAATATTTTGTTCAATTAAATTTTTCATAGCAGCTTTTGCACCTGTTGCTTCAGTTATGATTGGTTAGTTATGATAACTAACTTTGTAGAGAGGAAAAATATGTTTAAGGTAGCCTAGGGAGAATGGCAGAAATCATCACGTTTTCGGTAGCCTAGGGAGAATGGCAGAAATCATCACGTTTTCCCCTCAGCCTAAGCAGATGATGTTTTTCTCCAGCTATGTTTCCCTTAAGTTTTCCCTTTTAAGAAACTTCATACTTCATGATAGAGGGTCAAAAATAACAATTTGATGAGAAACAAATGTAATGCAACTATATCTGTTTTGCTTTCATCAGATTATGTAAAACAGTGAGTGTATAAACCAGGTATTGCTGAATCGGATAGTCCTGTTATATTCAGTTTCTAACTGATACTTTTTGAAAGTTGGGGTGAGGCTGAGGGAGGGAAAGGAGCAGCACTAAGGAAATTGGAGAAGGCACTTTAAGAGGATATAGCTGCCCTGCCTCTTCTAATACTGCTTTTCTAAAATGTTTACTGTGAAGTAAAATCAACCCTATGATATAGCGAATCTTTCTTCTTCCCTGCAGGTGACCCAGTGCAGTGCCGTGCTTGGGTGGGCCAATGTGCTCTGTACATAATGATTATGACATTTGAGAAAACCATCATCATTATAGTGCTTCTTATACCTCAGTGGAAGGAGGTTTGTATTTTTGCAGCATTTTACAGGCAAATGAATTTCAGGTGGAAGCTGTAAAGCAATAGACTTCTAACTGTTTATTGGTTTGGCTCAAGCATCATAACTGTCTACAGTCAATGCCATTTAACTCTCTGGTGGTGGTATGTTCTTTTAGCTTGATTAGGATACTGCTAATTAGGCTTTCTGGCATCCATTGCCGGGAATATCCTATCATATTTTGGAGGGGTTTTATATAATGCAATATATAAAATTTTATTCTGTCTCCTTGTCTGAGTGCTCTTAAAGCTACTAAGTGGTTCTTCCTTTTCTTAATTCTTTAACCCTTACTTAAAGCTATTTTGTATTGCTTCTTGTAGTATTTTAAAGAATTTTCTTTGCCTGACCTTGTTGATAGATCTTAAACTGTAGAATTTTAGTAATTTGCAATGGATTAGTGAAGCCATTGCTGATGACTGGATAAATATTTATTTTGATAGAATCTGTGCAACGTAATATTCAAAGTGATGGTGCGTGGTCTTACAGCCCATTAAAACCAGTTGGTCCCTATTTTATGCTCTGGACTACTCTGGGAACTCTGTCTTCTCCTTACTGTGTGTTTTGTGAAATGCTGGTCTGTTTAAGTTTCCTAAAGATGGAACTTAAAACATGTTCCTGGGGAGCATGGAGCTCTAAAATGCTCAAGATGATTCTAACACAGCTCTTCAGACTTCTGTAAACAAAAATGACAAGAGATCAGTTTCTTGCCAGCCCCGCTTACTTATCTGTAGTAATTTATAAGCTGTCCTAAGTACTTTCCTTTTCTACAAAGCTGTCCTTTTTTGATTCATATGAATTATTTCTGTAGTGTTAGCTAGTACATGAACAATTGCACTTACTAATCCAGTTATGTGCACATGCTGCCATGATCTGAACTTAATCTTTCTCTTTTCACAGGTGGCTTTATTGAATCCTATAGAGAACCCCCAGTTGGAGCTGGCTATCGTCATGCTGATAGTTCCCTTCGTTGTTAATGTTAGTACAACTTGCACGCTTCTGTGAGATGTTTACTTGGGTATCTTTCTGCCATGTGTTAATTAATTAACGTTAGTCCTTAAAGCACAGTGTACCTTGGTGCTTAAGTTAATTTTTAAAGAAGAGTGTTAAAGAATGGATAAAATGTCTGGATACATAGATTTTACAAAGCTGAAATCCATATTGAGCTAAGTAACCAGGCTCAGGAGAGGTGCAGAAATGCCTCATAGACCTCTTTGGGCTGATGACTTCAGTAGACTGAATGTAATACTGAAATACTGACATAGACATTATAAAATTACAATGAAATTTGCTTCAGGAAACAGTTGGTCTAAGGATAGCTGTACTGCAAAGTATCCTGTGTCCTGTGTCTGCTAATAGTGGCTGGCCTATGATGGAGCAGAGGAAAAGGGCAAGTGTGCAATGTGCAATCCCAAAGTATACTCTTCCAGTAACCTGGGAAGTTGGTCTAAGGATAGCTGTACTGCAAAGTATCCTGTGTCTGACCATAGCTAATAGTGGCTGGCCTATGATGGAGCAGAGGAAAAGGGCAAGTGTGCAATCATCCTTCCCAAAGTATACTCTTCCAGTAACCTGGGATTTAGGGACTAGAGCCAGAGGTGGTGGGTGTCCTTGCATTTAATAACTGCTGGTGATTTTTTTTCTTTCATTAATTTGTTCAAGCGTGGATTTTATCCTTTGAGAAACAAAAGTCTGTTGCACTAAGATGTCTGCCTAAACTGTTCACGTTTCTACATGAAGAGTTAATATATGATCACTCTGAATAGCAGCTACTTTTCTTAACTTTCTTTTCTTCTACAAAGGAATAAAGTAGCTATGTTCTAGAGCATTCATGCATTGTGTAATAAGCCATGGGACTGTATGCCTATACAAGATTTTACCTGTATGGCCAATTCAAAATTATTGTCAAGTTTTCCTAATTCTGTCCAAATACTGAGCGAATGAACATATGCTACTCTAAGGAAAACTGAACTGTCACTTCCCCCTTCTCTTTAACAGGCATTAATGTTCTGGGTAGTAGATAATTTTCTTATGAAGAAAGGGAAGACAAAAGCTAAACTTGAAGAAAAGGAAGCAGGACAAGATTCAAGAAATGGAAGTAAAGTCCGATACAGGAGAGCAGCATCATATGAAGAGTCCGAGTCAGAAGTATGTAGAGTTAATTATTGCAATTAATGCAATATGAGTCCAGTTCATCGCTCATACCGTTGATTTAATTGTAACACTGTCAACTCAATTTTGATTTTCTTTGCATGTACCTCTAACAGTAGTTCCTAGAATTTGCAGTTGAAAACCAGTTAAGAAAAATGGCATTGTTGCACCACTCATGGTAGTTAATTTCCTTCCAGATGGGCAGGAGGACATAATAATATATTTAAGTATCACAGGTGAACTGTTACAAATGATTCTAAAAAAAACCCATATGAAATACAAAACTAATAGACAATTCAAATTCAAAGGGAGGTTAATAGCTTAAAGTGAGAGGAAGCTGGTGGAGGCAACTGGCCTGATTTTGGAGAAGTATATACAACCTTGTGTTAGCATAATTTTATTCTAAATTATATTAAGTGGGCAGAATTCAGTTCACCTGCAGGATGGGTGGTATCTTTTGAAGGTAAGTTGTTTTAGCTTTAGTTGGTTAATGTAACGTTTCTGTGTTACAGACAGTACTATTTATATGGGATTTTCTTTAATAGAATGACTGCCATATTACCAGTGTGGATGGAAAGCTTATATATTCTCTCTCATTTTAACAGCAAGCCAACTGTTCTGGAGGTGCTGGAATCACTTCTTTCGGTTTCGAGTCAGTCATTGTAGTAGAGATTAATACGCATGCATCCTTCTTCAGAATTTACTGGAGGTTCCAGATAGGATGTGTGATGTTGTTTGATAGTACTGGCAGTAAATCCAAATTATGTCCTGTGAGCTCTTTCTTGAGCAAATAATAAGGTGCTTTGCAAGCATAAAAAAAGTAAAAGGTTAGTAGTAGAACGAAGAAAGAGTGTGACTTTGATCCATGTTACTTAGAAGCTGTACTTTGTTTTTAGATCCTTATTTCAGCAGATGATGAGATGGAAGAATCGGATGCTGAAGAGGACCTGCGTAGACTGACCAACTTAAAGCCCATTAAGAAAAAGAAGCATCGTTTTGGTCTGCCTGTATGACACATTCCCTGACCTGTGTATTTGCAGGTTTCATGGCAAAAACTTCAGTCAATGGGTTTTAATGTTGCAGTTGCATCTCCCTTTTCATACAAACTGACTTAAAAGCAAGGTCTACCAACAGAATGCAAACGGTTGGAAGACTTCCAGTTCAGTTGCACTACAGACACACTGACCAATTATGCAAGAATGTCTTTTCATCACATGTGAAAAACAGTGTTGTTAAGGACTAGTCGCTAAGGGGATTTGTATCTGACATTTCAGAGAAGATCATAGAAAACAGATACAGCAATCTTCCACTTACAGTTACTGATGATACAGTTTAAGCTGTTCTCAAAAAGGCATCAGAATGAACTAAGCTAAAGGAGTGTGTTCTATGACTAAAACTGGCTTTTGCAGCATAATTCCTAGAGCAGAATAGTTTATGGTTACAAACTGTAACTTAACGTTATTTTTTTAAGTACAAATGTTTACTTGCTACCGGGTACCTATGGAACTAATAGGTGGAACAAAGATTTTTTTCCGAGTCTCCTCGAATCTATTTGACTATTTTATATTTAAGTTATATTTTCATACAGTTGTATTTAAAGATTCTCTTTGTCAGAGAAAAGGGTGCAGTTCCCTTTTTTTTGTGCAGAATAGGTCAAAAGATTTGTAGTGAAAATCTTATTTAACGTTGTGTCCTGGTTTAAGACAAAGGGATTGCAAAGGGAAGAGCTCTCTGTCACTGCTGAAGTCACCAAATATCACTAAAAATGCAGTCCTAAGTGTGCTTTTGACCACATAATTTGAAAATACCATTTTTAATAGGAGGTGGTGTTTGCATATTTGACAAACGTGCACTTTAGTGTATAACAAAAATCTGTTGTGATAGGTTATTTGTGAAATGAATATCTATGGATGACTCTATTTCTGTTTCTGCAAGTCTCTTGTGCATACCTCTCAAATAACCCAAAAGAGATGGAACATTTCTTATACTTTTCCTTATATAGGGCCTGCGGTACGGGACTGTGGTCTGATTGAAGCAGTTGTGCTACAATATAGCAAATAATTCTGCCCCTTGTTTTTTGTTGGAAAACCAATCTTCTATGTAATGTGCTTTAAAAAAAAGATTTCTCCTGTTTAATTTCCAAAAAGTCTGGTTATCCTTTAGTATTTAAAAAAAACAAACAAGAGGTATAATACAGTTGTTACTGCAGAATTTTTGTGATTTTCAGTGTCTTGTCTTCTGATAATTGGCAACGTGTGCTGATCTGAAACCCAGCAGACATGTTTTCAGTGGCATCCTTTTGCTTTGCGTATTTTCTAAATGATTGTTTCCGACAGCTTTCCTTGCTTAGTTAAACCTTGTGCAGGACAAGGCGATGTGTCAAAGAGGTGACAACAGACCTTAATTGCAAATCTGTTGTAGTATCTGGACATCAGAAATGTTCCAGGCCTTAAACCAAACAGTTTCATTGGAAAACTGCTCAGAACTTTTTAAGATTTTTTACATTTTTTTATAGATTTAGTAGGTCTTAATGTGATTTATTACCCAGGCCACTTAAATGGGGTTCTTGGGCCTTAGTAAATACTGAACTGTGCGCTCCCGTACTTACTTTCACTATTCCAGCATTCCTTTTCACTGCTTGGCTGCCGAGGTGAACACAATGTTCTGAGACTTCAGGTACACCTCAGCGTGTCCAGCCGGCTAGAAGGGACATTTTACCAAACCTAACGTTTGCGAGTTTAGTTGAGCTGCTGACCTCTGTTACTGTGCACTGAAATGTAATAACTGCAATAAGTTTAAGTACTAGTGTTTCTTTTAGACTAAATCTAGAAACTAATGACAATGGAAGCTTAACTGAGTTATTCTGAAATGGGGGGTGTGGGGGGATGGGGAAATGTCCCTAATCAGTGTTGCCTCTGTTTTAGGTTTTTTGGGTTTTTTTCATTATTGTGTGACTTGCATCTTCTCTTGACTATTTACCACTGGGCGGGTGCGTATCTCCAAAAGCACAGTACTTCAAGGAATTCATTTTCATCAACAGAATAGTCTCATACAGCTCTCTCTTCCAAAGGGATTTAAGAGCTAGGACTGGCTCTTGTCGCAAATGTCAGCATTTTATTTTTTTTAGCATAGGATTTGTTCTATTTCAGATAGTGAAATAAAGCTATTCAACATGTGCTACATACCACTGCACAGCCATCGCTGTCCTCGTCAACCACCAGAGATAACTGAGCAGCGCACACAAATTTAACTGTACGAGCTTTCATTTTATCTTCCTTTTCCCTCCTCTTCTCCAGTTACTTAAATTATCAAAATTATTTCTAGTCTCATGTTTAGTCTGTGAAGTGTCAGTATAAAATTATGGCCTTAATCATGTAAAAATATTTGTTTTGAGCAGACCTCAAACTTTTTGACCAAGTACAAAACAATGTAAAGCACTATGGAGCAGTTTCTTGAAGGTGGTTATAGCAAAGGTATACGAATGCCTAATTTTTCATGTCTTAAGTGCTTAAATGTCACTTGGTTTGAGATTTTGATATGCCTAGCAAGATGATGTAGTAAAGCACTATGAGCCAAAGAGACAGAAGTATTTTAAATACCACAGTAGTAACAGGAGGAACATATCTTCAGAGGGGAAAAAACAGCTCTAACTTTCTCTACTAAGATAAAACTTTTATTCACAACCTCAGCCACATAACAAAAACCAAGGGTTTTTTCTATTCGTTCTTTGTTATCATGTGAAAGAGATGGAAAATATAAAATTGGCAGTTTTCCTCTTTGTAAGATAAAAATTGGAATTCTTGCAGTAGGTACAAGTAGGACAGGTGCTCGTCTGAAGAGCTTGTATGTGTGAGAAGGAAGTATGTGCCTAGTGCTTCGCTATGTCTTACTGTTTGTTGAAATGTATTGGCAGTACAGTCTGAAATAAATTTTTCACAAAGAGTTGATCCAGTAATAATATTACAACATGACGATGTTTGCATTATCCTCAAATTGGCGCCCTAAATTTATGCCTGGTAAATGTACTTCAGGACAACTCATAGCAAAGGTTTAATTCAGGCTGTGCTTAAAAAAATGTGATTCTGTTTAATGAAAATAAGCTCTGTAGTATATGCCAAAGTAAGAGAAAGGGATTGTAACTTAGAAAAGAGACACAGAAGTATTGGTGGAGATCAAATTTTCCACGGATGGTCAACCTAAATGTATTAACTGTTTCTAGTATCCGACCTGTGACACATCTGCATAAACTTCAAACACTGGTGTTGTCTAATACGTGGTTTTCAAGTTCTGGCTTTAATATGTTCAGGTCCCCTTGTCTTATTTTAAGTAGGTAAAAGCTGTATGTTAATGTTGCTAACTAAAATGTACTATAGCTTTTCTTCAGGGAAAACTCAGAAATTGAGTTGCAAATTAGAGCAATGCAAGGTGATCCCCTCCGGCAGGTGTCTGCTCCGATTCCAGCTGTGCCTGGGGAGGAGGCCTGGGCTCTCACGCTCCGCTGAGAGCTGAGCATCACAAGGAATTTCTGCCACTGTGCTTGACTAACCCACGTTTGCAACTTTGCTGTGCTTTGTACAGGAGAAACCAGTAATGAAAGTGAATAAATTCAGCCACATCAAGTCAGAGTAGATCTACAGCATAGGCGTGCAAACTTTTTTAGGTAAAGTTTCCAGTTCAATTACTGAAAATGACTACTATGGTTTTACAAAGTAAAACTGCAGTATCTTTAAAAAAGGGACTCTTTTGTAGGTGTGTTTGTCTTGCGTGGGTATCCGTCTCAAACTGAATGTTGGGTTTGTTTGTAAGTAAATTCAGAGTATAGCCTATGTGAGCAAAACCAACAGCTGTATTCTGCTGCCCTCTGTTTGGACCATATTGTTTAATCAGTGGTGTTACCTTAAACTTTTAAGGGTATCTGATGTAATTACATTGTATAATGGTTTACAATAAAGTTTGACTTATTACAGATTTGTACACTTGTCTTATACTTGTTCTCTTTAAAAGTGTGCGTGTTTCAATGTTTATAATGTGCCATTTTGGGAAGCAGGTTTTGCTACTGGAGTTTAACTTCAGAACTGCAGATCTAATTTTTTGCACTCATGTTGGTATTAATTTCAATATATTCATTTACCTTAATAGCAAGTCCCATTTCAGTTGGAGGGACCACTATTCTTAAGTAGCAAATTTTGTTTACGAATCCTTGCAAGCTCCTCTCGGATCTGTTCCCTGAGGAGGGTTTTCACCTTCTGCGTATGCTCACATGGAGAATAACCATCTGTATTTTCATACTGAAAATAAAACCTTCGATGTGCACCCTGAGAACTCCTGAGATTGCAGAACATTTGACCTGAGGCCTTCTGGAGTGTGGGATGTTGTTAAAATGCTTTAATCACACAGCCAATTATCACAGCCTGCTTTCGGCTTTTTAAGCAAAGCCAGACCTTTTGCTCGTTTGCAACGTGAATGTGTAAACTTAGAAATTTCTGAGTTTACCCCAAATATCCTGTCCCTTGGCAGAGGCATGGCCTAATTCAATAACTCATTAACCTGTTTTATCTTCTGTTCCCCTTCTGATTTGTTTGCAGCAGGTAGTAGAAATGCAAGCTGAGGGAAGATGTCTGAGGGTCCTGTTGCGAAGTTTGCTTGTGCAGTGCCTTGTACCACAGAACTCATGTAGTAGTACCTCCTCGGAGACAGAAAAGGGCCACGCGGGGATGTCTAGTTCCAGGACCAAGTAGCTTCTGTCCCCTATCTCCAGAGAGCAACACGCTGGAGATGACCAATGTCTTCCTTGCTTACTCTAATCTCTGCTACTTCCCAAAACCATGCAAAAGGGGAAGGGGGAAGCAGTGCTGGTTCTTTTCTGTCTGATGAAGACATCACTCCTACATGCTATCTATGTGGTGCAGAGTTGTCTCTTAAGCTCCAGGGAAGCAGCGTCTTTGATTACCAAAGTGTCTGCAGCAAGCGCTTGGATTCCCTTATTATACCCAACAAAATGAGTGTAGCCTAGCTTGATTTTTTTTTCTGTTTTGTTGGGCAGGAAGATGCCGTTTTAACTCTCCAGGTTCCCTGGAGGTATGGCAAGGTATCTACCATCAATTTTCCAGAATGCTGGAGGAATGAGGAGGACCATGTAGGACAAGAGCTGGCTCACTGTGAAGCTGTAACATGACCATGTGCAGGTGATGGATTTTTTTTTTTTAGGCTGCAAATGGCAAGAGGTCGATACCTTTATGCCAGAATAGAGCAGAAATCCTGTTCTTGGTGAGCTGCTGTTGCTATCGCTCCTTCCTATCTTGGTGGGAGCAGTTTAGTGTGTTCTGCTGGGCTGGACCTGCACAGTATTGATCCACTACTACCCCTGCAACTCCTCTATAATGTTTGCCCATTACTTTCATTACTTCCCACCTACTACACACAAGCAGCCCCATACCCACTGCAGCCTTAAAGGGAATTCAGAGAATAATCTTCAACCTGTCAAGCCTGTCAGTCCACTGAGGGATGTTAGCAGTTTCCTGCAGGAGAAGTCAAATCTTCTGTAAGATCTGTGTCTCCTGGAGATCACAGTGGCCAGACGTGTGTACACGCACTAAATTCTCCATGGTCATCGCCGTATTTTAGCTGCAACCGCTCCTCAGCAAAGGAGTTTTCCATACTTTATGTTGCAGTGAAAGATGAAACAGGGTTAACTTGTGTTTTTAATAGCCACTGTTAAATAAATGAGGCCATCTTGTTTCATTGTCATTCATGTCCCATTTAACAGATCTCAGGACCTCAACCAGGTGAACAGGAACATTTCTACTCTGAAATGTAAGTAACTGGATTTAGGTTGGGGTTTTGTAAGGAAAAATTAGCCCATGATCTGTAAGAGGAAATGGTTGTGTTTGTTGTTCAGCCTTGGTTTAGGAAATGTATAATCAAAGAGAACAGAATTGTCCAGGCTATGGGGGATGTCTTAGAAACTTCAGGATATGCTACCTACTTCCGAAGCGCCTCATCTCCTACCCCCGAATGGCATGCAAGCTGAAGCTGTTTTGATTTTGTTTGTATAAATTAAATTGCCATGAAAGCGTAACTGTTGCTTTTGAGTGAGGAATATGTAGTACCAGTTAAATGAAGCCATTTTGAAAGCTGAAGGGGAAAAAATAGTTGTGTCGAATTCTAAATATTTGCTTTAAACATGCAGAATGTTATTTTCCTGTTGTAATAGATAGCGTCAGAACGGTGGTGCTTATAGGGCTGTATAGAAACATCTTAGTAGAGAAGGAGAGGTGTTGCTTTGTACAATAGAAAAAAATTGCTGTTTTTCCTAAAGCTGATGTTTTTTCCTTCTGCTTTGTTAACCTACTAAAAGGTAATGCTGTTCTGCAGAAACATTTCCTCTAGTTTACTAAGCCGTGAGTTTAAAATAGAAATTCAACATAAGGAATGGCTAAGTACGTAACATCCAAACTGCTTCTTAACCTACAAATAATTCCCCCAATAGTCACGTAAAGGAAAGCTCCTTCTCAGGCCTGGAAAGAGTTCAACTTAAAGGCAAAATGGGCACCCGGAGGCCTGGGGGATAGCTCACAACCGACAAATCCCGTAGTCCTGATTGTATGGTGCTAGTGCTGTGGTATTGATGTAATGTTTCCATAACGAAAAATACCAATTTTATTTTGCCTCCTGTGCTTCTCTCTGTAGCCTAAACAAAACAGGCAGAGCTTGAGAAGAGGCCAGGACAGATTTCTATCACTACAACAGTCGATGTTTCTAGTAAAAGATGTTTGGAGGTCTGCCACATCTGCCTTTCTCATATGAACATACCTGGCTGGAGTCTTGGTTCTTTGTGGGTGTTGAGTACAGTCACAGAAGCTGATTTTTTTGCACGATGCGAAGAATTAATGTAAAAAAATATGAAAATAAAAGGGAAACAACCCCCCACCCAACCCTCTCCTGGTAATAAAAGTTAGAATTCATGCTTAGAGGGGTTTTTTTCTATTTAATTAAGAAATTGTTTAGAGAACAAATCTTAAGTTCTGGAAGAGGTTTTACTACTGTCAGCAGGTACAGTGGGGAACACCGAATTTATTCATGTGTGAGTAAGCTATTCCTATACAGATGACAGGTGAAATTATTAAAATGACTAATACCGCTGTAAGTGGAAAATGATTTTACTCTCTCAGTTGTGTAAGAGCCAGCGTCAGAGTGAGCTCAACAATAGAACTGTAAGGGTAAAACCATATCCTATTTTAACTCTCCACAACACACAAAATACTCTTCTGTTAAAGATCCCTGTGCAAAAGTGATTTAGGGCACAATGTTATGCTTCAGATGTTAGGTTTGTATAATCTTTAGAGAATGTGTATTTTGTTACAGTGGGAAAGAAAGACACAGTTCGGTCGTCCCTGTCCCGTCCCGTCCCCCCCCCCCCAAGAGAATTCAGAGTCCCTTTTGTGCCTGTAACAAAGTTTTGCCTTTTAAAGTTATAAATAGAGCCCCAGTGGACTCCCTGGGAAGTCATTTTGTAGGGGATCGGGCTTCCCCACGGTCCCGCTGCCACAGCTGTCTGTTCTCGTCAGTCCCCAACTCCATCCGTCCCCAGGCACAGGGCGCGGTAAATACTGCAAACCTTAGCCATCGCTAAGAATAAACCTTTCAACAACAGCAGCCCCTGTCAACCTGAATCATCCGGGGTTCTGGTTTGGGAAAATGACCCAGCCAATGACTTCATGTTAGGTGCTCTATAAAAGCCGAGGAAAAAAACAGGCGTTTGCAGAGCTCACAGGCTGGATGTAAACAAAGCTGAGAAACGGCCTCAGAAGGGATTACGGTCGAGTGAGCACCGCAGTTATGTCACAGGTACGGGGAGATCTGTACGAGGCCGGCTCTCCTTAGAGCAGCGTGCCCGACAAATGTGTTACTGTTCTAGACGGGTTGCTTGGAATAGCTTATTAGCAAGTTCCTCTCGTTAACCAGTGGATTCTGCTTTTCTGCTTGATGTGACGTGTTTCGTTTGATTATGTTGAAGTATTTAAACGCTCTGTTTATATATTTTACCAAGTAAGTTGTTAGGAGGGATTATTTGATGAAGAAGGAAAGCAGCTGCCCTCTACATGGTTAATTAATTTAGTTTTTAAATTTTCTGTTTTACAATAAATATTTCTGTAGGAAGGGAAAAAACACTTCCACTGCTCTGGTTTGGGATGTTTTACAGAAGAAGCGATATCTGCTTTTCCAACATACTTCCTCGGACAATGATTTGAAACTTTGGCAGTGGTTTTGAAAGGACATGGCTGTACTGAAGTGTGCTGCTGTGTGTAAAGCTTAATGTATTAACATGCAGGAAAAGAGAGAGCGTGACTGAAAATTATGACTTAGGATACGATATTTGAGACTGAAGTTTTGTATTACACACCTTTATGTTCATTTTGTAACTAATGGTTTGTCTTTACTGTGTTCCCCAATAATCAGCGTTTCAAGGCAATCTTAAAATTAGCTCAGAAATGTTTTTCACATAAGTGTTTTGTTTTCAACACAAGCGACATGTGCCTGGCAGAGTTCTCCCGGTGAGAGTTTTACACGGTGAGTGGGATGGAGATTAAGAATACAGGGAGGGTAGAAGAGCACAATCCTTTGACCACATAGAGTGACTCAGTTTGGCTTATTTTCTTCACTCAAAAAAAAAAAAAAGAGACTTAAAAAACCAGTCATATGTCTTGTAAACCAACGCGGTCTGACTTGTGACAGGAGATAAAGCACAGGCTGCGCTGCTGTGCCAGCTGGCTCCTGGCAAACCCTGCTTACAAATGCACTTGCGTCGGGAGCAATTAACAGCGTGCGGCTGCGATACTGGCAGCTACTGGTGCTGGCAGGTCCAGGCTCACCTCCGTGGCTCATAGTAAACTTTCTGTGCAGCATTTTTGCTTTTTAGGTGGAGGGCAGCTAATCCACAGCAGCTGTCCTGCTGGAAAATCCACCTGTAATCAAAGAAGGAGAGGTTTTATTTTAAAATAAGTGGGTGAAATTCAACAGGTCTGCTCAACCTGGCTGTGTCTCGGTGCATCTCGAGTGCCTCCTTTCCTTACTCCATCCCCAAGAAGTCCCTTGTCCCGGTGGAAAGAAGCCTCCCAGTTATTGTCTCTTGCCATTAATGGGTGAAGGACCTTAGCAGGTTTTGTATTCCTGTTAACAAAACAAGGGTTTTTTTCTCTTTCTGTGTTGGAGCCAACACAGGTCTGTATTGGTTGCCTGTGGACCATGCCGTGGGCATGGGGGACTGTTCCCGTAACATGCCAATTTTCATTACAGGTGGACAAATGAAACCCTGGCTGTAGGGATGTTTGATTACCCAGCTAACCAAACAAAAGCTGTTGTGAATTTTGAAGGGTTTGCTACCACCCTTTCCCGTTGCCTGCTTTGGCTACTCGTAGACTGTTTTCCCCAGAGGTCTTGTGAATGTTTTGTTTCCAACACACGCAAATAGGATTGACAGCGAGCTATTCTGAGTGTTCCCAGGAATTTACTGCCAGCAGGAAACATGCCGAAGGCTCCAGTGCAGCCAGCCCGCCCCTGCCCAGAGCCAGGCATGCACACGCTGTCTCTGCAAGCTCCCTGGGACTCGCTGCTCCGGCCACTCGCAGGCCTTGAGGGATTTGTTTTCCTTCAGAACTGTTTTTAGCTGTACAGGCAGCGGCCTAGAAGCGTACAAGTGGGCTCCACCGCTGCCAAAACCCAAATATTGGAAGCCCAAAGTATGTAGCGACGGTCAGAGAAGTTTCTCATTGCTGGTTCAGTGTGCAAATCTGTTAAAGTTGGAGTGTGTGGGTCTTTTATTCTTTTTAATCGCATCTCCTGTGCCCCTGCACCCTGCCACGGGGTCTGCCTGGTGGGACCTTGGCAATCAGTCCTTGAAATAGTAAACTGAAGAGGGAATGTTAATGGTGCCGACTGCTGCTGATTGATGTTGTGTCTGACTTTGAAGTGCTGTTTTAAAGGTAGGAATAGGCTGATATGATCCCATGTAACTCTGATTTTCTTCTAGCAAGATAAACTGTAAACAGATTAGTACTTGGACGTTCCAGTGCACCACCTGATGATGCATCTGTTTCTATATTAGCTTTCCTTCTCCTTCTTTGGGTTCTGAGTCCAGTGTTTCAGGTGTGTTCAGTACACACGCGTAGACAATCCTGTTGAGTGCTCAGATACTTTTGTTCCCTAAATTTAAGATCAATAACTATGGGTCAAGTGTTAAGTTTATTCCAACTAAATCGAGCCAGATTTCAGAGTCTCTCTGACCAGTTTCCTAAGGAAGCAGTGAGTAGATTGAAGCACAAGCACAATTTAGTAATGAAGTTTTTTTTCCTTCCGTAACATTGGACAGATTCTTGAATTACCAGTGTGTACTTGCAGAAAGGGTCAGGCAGGGCTGGACAGAGAACATGTAAAAGTAAATTTAAAAAAAAAAAAAAAATTTAAGCAATCCACTGTCTCTTTCAAAGGCTGTACAATCAGAAGACAATTTCAGAACAGAACAGTAATAGTGGCAACAGATTTTGGGAAGGGCAGTGAAATCATGGTTGTGCAAAGATCTGGAGTAGCTGAGTGTGCAGTCTCAGAATTGAAATAGGTGGAATATTGTACTAGCAACCTCTGTATGTTAAGGCAGCTTTGTTCCCTGTGCTTCTAAACATGAAATACTGATGCATGGGCAATACATCTGTTTCTTAGCCAGCCCCTGTGAAAAAGAAGCGTCCCCCAGTGAAGGAAGAAGACCTCAAAGGAGCCAGAGGAAACCTTTCCAAAAACCAGGAAATTAAATCCAAAACCTACCAAGTGATGAAGCAGTGTGGTAAGTCTCCTTGACGGAAATGACTAAGCAGCCTTCCAAAGTAAAACATCGACTTAATTGCTCTTTTCAAGTGAGAGGGTGTGCCTCTGAAACAGCAGCCAGCGGTGTGCTCGCCGACCCTGGCCTGGCTGTGCAGGGACTTCGCATCCATCATCTTGATGGCACCAAGAGGTGCCAACAGGGCTCTGCTTGGAGCGATTGTTCTCCCTGTCTGGACAAAGCGGGAGGGAGAGCCCTGACTTTGCCTTCTGAACCAGGCTTCAAACCAAGCCCTGGGCCCATAGTCAATGTCAATGACTGCCCAAGTTGAAGGTTGGAGGCTCGGTCATAGATTAGGGGATTTCTGGCCTCCCAACTGGATGAATTTGATGTGTTTGAGATGAAGTAGAAATTGGGCAGAAGGTAAGCAAGAAGAGAGTGGCTGCTTGCACTGAACACCCCTGGTGCTCCACTTTTGTGTTGCTTTTCCACCGTCAGTGGGAGAGTACAGGAAAAAATGATGAATTTTAACCCCTTTTCAGCATAATAGCCTGGGCCTCACTAGTCTCCAAGTTTCTAAAGCACCTGCAGGGACTTGGGGCCAGGCAATGGCAGTGACCACCTACAGCTGCTGTCAGCTGCCCCGTGCTTGGGATGGGAGCGCTGTGCTTTAAGGTTTGGGAGTTGATGGACGGATGAAATATTTATCAAATAAATGTGTATATATGTATTTCAGCAGCGCCAGTTTTACTCCCCGACTTTGGTGTGCTACTTCACTGATTGCCTCTTCTGGTTTTCTTTTCCAAGAACAAATGGGCTCCGCAGCACCTTCCATATTCAGCCGGGATCGGACAGGAGGTGAAACAGTCTTTGAGAAACCAAAAGAAGGGCCGGCCAAGAGCGTCTTTGGCTGACGGCGGAGCTGGAAGTGTCTCACCCAGATGATTGTCGTAATGTTTTCCCAAATCTCTGCCCCTTACACTAATGTCACTGTAGACCTAAGTAGCTAGTTTCTACTGTAAGTCATTAAGTAAAGAATAGACTCATGTCAAAGGGTACAACTTCCATGTTGATTTTTATTATGTGCTTGCTTTCTATATGTTGAATGGTGTTTGCTGTAACGGTTTAATAAAAAACATTGTTGGACACAGCTTGGCACACCGTGGTGACTAATTTCAGTTTAGGCTTAGATTAATTCTGTGGACGCTTCGGTGTTACAAGCTGTGATCTAGTCTGTCAAACGCAAAGAATAAACATCCACATGACACAGTTTTAGCATCAGTGCAATTTCTTCACGCTGTGCCCTCGCCAAGAGGGAGCTGAGGAGGAGCTGGTCAAAGGGGCGTCAGAAACCTGGAGACTTCACCCAAATCTGCGCTGACTGCAGCGGTGCCGCAGCGAGGCCCCTCAGGGCTGGTGTGTGCCATGGGTGGCAGCCCCCCCCTCATGGCCTTCCCCTCATATGTCCCCCCCACAACTCCCTCACAGCCCCCAGGGCAGCAGCATTATGGTTGCCCCACGAGCGGCTCTGCCAGGAGGCAAGATGCCGGGCTGTCGGTGTGCCCCAGCGCCGAGGGAGGGCTTCCAGCCTGTTCCCCAGTGCCTTTTTCCTCATGTCCCGTTGGATCAAGTGGGAAGTGGGGTGACAGGCCAGCAGCACAGGTGCCATGTCCCGCCTGACTGAGGAGCCGAACGACCTGCTGGGCGTCTCTGTACAACAGCAAACCCACTCTGAGAGGAGGCTGGTTTGTTGCAACTCTGTTTACATCTTGATTTGCTGCATTAAACATCAAACCTGTTTTCCCCCAAGGTATAAACTGGAGTATTTCCCCTCAGTTGGATCTTTGCGCTGAAACACAGCTAATCCTCTGCTTTGTTGGCACCTGCCATGCTTTTCACAGACCTCGAGTCCCTGGCAGCATGTCCGGGGACGGAAGGGTAGGTGCCACCTTTATTTAAAGAATTACTTTAATTTTGCACAGGCTAGACCTGATTAAGAGGTGAAAGTGGTATCGAAGGTCTCTGTGCACTGTGAAGAATATCATCTTTGTCTTTTGTGTCCCGAACACTTGACGGATAAAACGTGCCAACATCCATCATGCTCCCAGAGAGGCTGCGGAGTGGGGTGCGCGTAAGGCAGCAGCAAATCCTTTGAGTTTAAGGGGGAGGTTTCCTTAAAAAAGTAAAGATATCGCTGGTGTGTTGCCCTGCCCCATTTTTTTCACTTTCAGAGACTGTTATTTGCAGCCAAGACACTGTCTCTTCTCTCTGCTGGACACCGTTTCTCCATGGGGCCCGGGCTCCTCACAGGTAACTCTGCACAGACTTTTCCTCTGAGAAGGACTCCTCCCAGAGCTTCGAAGGTAAAAACAAAACACAGTGGAAAAAAGTTCCCACCCTGATAACACTGGAGCCGTCCCTGCATCAGGTTTAACAAACCCCCCTTAATGTGTGATGAGAAGTTGGCAGGAGGTTGTTTATTAATTAGAAAAATGGAGAGGGACAAGTGGGGCAAAACGATGTTACTGCTTTCTTTTGTACGGTGCAAGTGACTGAATATTGCGAATTTGCTAGACTGGGTAGCAGGAGAGGGGGGTGCTGTATTTCAGACCCGGCTTTGGGTATGCTGGTGCTGATTTAGCAAAGCACCGAAACCTCTGTGTCCCACAGACTTGCAGCATGGATGCGGCAGGGAAACTAAGTTATCTACCAGAAACTTGGGATTTTGCTAACGGCTTTATTTCCAGGATGTCCTCAGGTTCAATTATTTGTGATGCTTCCCAGCGTGACAGTAAGTGCTCAAGACCAGGGATCTTTTTTTCTTTTTCTGTCTTTTAAGATGGACCTCGTCTAAAAAATACCCATTGGAGGTAAAAGTGTATGCCTGGGACAAAGTCGCTCCCCATTTGTGACAGCAAGGTCTCTGCTCTCCTGTGTGAGTTGCAGGAATCCTCCCCTGTCCCCAGCCTTGCTGCTGTGCTGGAAAAGTTACCGGCTGCTGCTGCAGGACAGGAGAAACTTGTAGGCGAGAGGAACAAACGTAAAGCTGCCTGGAGAACTTTTTGTCATCTTTTTCTTCATCCTTGTGAATCTAATAAGTCCATGCATGGAAAATGTGTTTTCTTCCTTTTTTCCCTCATTTTCATAATGAGAACTAGTGACAGAGAAGTGTCTGAACAAAGCCCCGGGGTTTGAGGTTTTAGGTCATTTTGCACTCAAAAGTATCTCCTGTTGTGACGGTGGATTTAGATCCTTCCTCCAGGGTGATCTGAAGTCGTTTCACAGCACGTTCGTTCCTCAGAGTGAGAAGCACTGGGTGCTGCCGGACCGGTGCCCAGCGCACCAGCAGCAACGGGCGCTGGACACCGGCGGGGATGGCTGTCGGCGGCGGCTTGTACAGAAGCAGGGCAAGGTGCTCGAGCCTGGGGACGAGCCTGAGCACGAGATCTTCCTGTAGCTGCTCCAGCGAGCCACAAAGGGATGCGGGAGGGATTCCACAGCTTCCCTGGGTGCTGGCCGGCTCCGTGCACCCGGGAGCAGGGCAGAGCCGGCCATGCAGCCTAAATCTGTGCAGTTAAAGCAGCTCTTTAATGTCCGTGTGATTTTTACATGTGGGTATTAGAAAACTGGCGACAGATCCGCTTAATTAGAGCTAAAGCTTTGGCTCTGGGGGATCTTAGGCCACTAAGTGTGTAATCCTGTGTATTTTCAGGATTAAAGCATTATACGAGTTGTAGAAGTTAATAAAATGTATAGCAATTTTAATTTTTCTCTGTTAAAATATACGTGTTTACATGTCCTGCTATGAACAATACAGTATTTGCAAGTAGTATAAAGAGTCTGTCTGGAAGAAGTGAAGTTTGTTTTTTTTTTTTTTAAAAAGTTACTTAAAGATACAGTATTCAAGTAGTATAAAGAAATCTGTCTGGAAGAAGTGAAGTTTGTTTTGTTTTTTTTAAAAAGTTACTTAAAGCAGAAGCCTTGTAAGACCAGGCTGTGCTCAACAGACTCCTTATGGTGAACTTGTAAATGTCTGTCGAAGTAATAAATTACTGAGCCCTGCATTAGCGTCTCCTCGCAAATCCGAGGCCGCTGGAAGCGTGCTCTCCACCTGGACGCTTTGTCTGTACAATAGCAATGAAGCAAACACAGATGCATGTATTTCCACAGGATCTTTGTGTTAATTGAGGACAATTAATGGCATCACCTACCATGGAGTTGTAAGGGGGAAAATGCTGTCAAAAAGCAACACGAAAAAGTGTTTTTGTGTGGACAGACGGCAGGTTTAGTTGAGAAAGGGCTGTCTGCTACCCTGGAGCTGCCAGCACAGGGCAGACGGGCAGGGAAATCACGGTGGGAGGGCAGGATTCAGCCTTCATCTGCTCAGGGCTGAGGGAAGAGGGAGTCTCTCTGGATTGCATCTCTCCACAGCACCGGCTGGTTGCAGGTTAACTGTATATGTGTGTTCGTATAAATACGTACAGGAACCGGGGGCTGATCCAGCAGCTGCATATGCCTAAGAGATCCTCTGAACTACAGCCCCGGGGGATGTTGTTTTTCCTGGCCTGTTTCTATTTTCAAGATTTCAAACATTTTATTTTCTTGCACGGGGAATGAATGAACAAATGAAGCCTACTGAAAGCTTTCCAATAAAACAAGCAAGCCCTGGACATGTGGCGTAGGAATGGCTCGTGACAGTTTGCTCCCTGAACCCCATTTCTCACCTTGATTTCCCCACCTATAGAGCTGAGGAGATGAACTTTTGAAATAGGTTCTGCCCATGGTGTGTTTACCCCACTGCCTAAAAACCCAAATTATTTCCCCACAATGTGTTTAAAATGCTTTGTAGAAGAGGCAGGTATTGCAACTACTCGGATGGAGAAATATCTTTTAAATAGTCATGCGAGCTGTCTTGCACTAGGAGACTACCTAAACGCCACGTGAGTGAGCATGTATTTTAGGAATTATGTTAGCATAACACTGTCTATAATTATTTGTGTATAAAATTGGACTTTTAAGATAACTTATTTTTTCCAGGGCTACAGGCCAACCCTTGACCAATAAAAACTTCACAGGAACTGGTCGAAGACCCCGTTGGATGAAGATTTTATTATAAAATAGGAGGTGGAAAGAGTCATCCCGCTCAGTTTCCAGATAAATTCAGGCGCAGAGCTCTCCCAGCACTAATCTTTTGTGCAAACAGCCCCGCTGAGTGCACGTGTTAAGGCAACTTTGCAGAATCCCCGACTGGATACATCACAGCTGTGTTAGGGCCGGACAGGGCCAGATGTGCTCCCGTGCACGGCTGTTGTTGCGCTTGGTTTTGGGTGGTTTGTCTTCTTTGTACACTTACATACGTGTACGTACAGGCACTGACTCAGCGCCTCTCTCCATAGGGAGTCCAGGCAAGGTCTGATCACTTTGTTTTTACTCTTTAGCTAAAGACAAGCCACAACTGATTTTGCTATTTGACAAACAAGGATTATGGCTTGTCAGAGGAAGCAAAAAGGGATGTTTTAAGAGGGTCACTCCATACCTCTCATGGGCCAGTTGGGCAGGGAGGCACAAACTTTGAAGAAGTCACCAGCTGTAAAATCTCACGTGAATGTTGCATGTCTTGGCAATCTCCAAATCTCTGAAGTGCTTGAGATAACGTTAAGGCTGTGCCCTTCCAGATAACTGCTGTTGGATGTGGTAGAGATTCATGCATCCACAAATGCAGCTTGTTGCACAGACCAGTTCATCTGCCTGTGGGATTTCACATGCAACAGCGAGATCTAAGTTTAAAAAGAAAACATGAGGATTTCTTAATCTTATGCGTTATGAAACATTAAAATTCTAATGTTTAACAGCAAAGATCCGTTGGAAGAATAAACGTTAACCAAGTCCAAGTTTTACCTATGTTTAACATGTAAATATTAAGTTTCTGGGTCTCTTCAAAGTCTACATAATATCCCTAAGTACAAGTTACTCATTAACTGATTAAGATAAACCGAGTTTTCATTTGAAAATCTGGTCTTTCCAAAATGGAGGAGAGAACGTTGCTCACGTTGATGGTCTTTTCCTCACTCGTAGCTTTAGCAGAAACTATTGCTCAAAAGGTATTTTTTTTTTTTTTAACAATATCTTGTTTGCTCATTTGGTGATCCGGTGGTATGGCGGTAGCTGGCCAGGTAATGCAGGTAACTCCTCTGGTAACCACCACCTGTGGAGCCTCGGGTGTATTGTCGTGATTTCAGAGCTTTGGGTCCTTTTAAGGCCTTTTTGGT